TACTTCATCAAAGATGTGGTTGCCCAGGGTGTTATTGCAGTGAGGAAGATTGGGACAGCAAAGAATTGGGCAGATATGATGACAAAGGTCATTCCTACACTCAAGTTCAGACACTGATGCAATTGTTAAGGCCCTTAGCAGGAGATTGTGGAGCTTGGCGTTATTCGAGCCAAGTTAGAGATTTGTGATGTTGTGGCCCAAATTTGGTGCCGGGTCGCGACGACCCGCTTACGACCCGTTGGATGAGCTTTGTGTGGACCCAAGCCCATCAAAGCCCTGGGGGTTTGGGGACTTGGCCCAGAGAAAAATTTTGACCCGTTTTTGCCCATGGGTCGTGGACCCTAATTAGTACTCTCTTGTAGCCCGATATATAAGGGCGCTTAGGGTTTGAAGTGTAATCAGCAAGAGACTGAAATCGTACAAAGAGAGGGAAGAAACTTGCAATCTTTCATTTCACATAGTGAAGACTTACGCCAGATCTCCACCGTGGACGTAGGCTTTGCCGAACCACGTATAAATCTGTGTTCTTTGTGTTGAATGTTTATTTTTCTATCATGTTTCGTAATTGTTGCTTCATTTGTTGCGTTTGTCATAACACTCTCTTTCTTTCCTCTCTATTTCATTCCAATCACTCTCTCCTCCTCCCTCCTGCCAAACAAAGGTGTTAGGTATATGAGTCAATTTCCTACTCAAAACACTAATTGTAATGTGTCAAAGTGGCGCAAACCTTCAAGACAATGCAGCTATGAAGCACCGACACGTGTGTTTGACCTAACGCACCAGTGTTGGACTCGTGTCCGACACGGACACACGTATCCGAGGCTCTGACACGGACACACGTATCCGAGGCTCCGACACGTGTCCGACACCTTGAATCCGTGTCGCAATTTTTTATTATTAAAAATTGCAATCGACATGGTTGTGAACACGGCTGAAGACACGGCTTTGTTGATCAGAGCCTTTTTTTTTTTGTTTTTTTCTTTATAATAGAGAGAACGAGACGATACCTATAGAGTATATATCCAGTGTATATATATATATAATACACACAAGAAAAAGAATATGGAGAGAGATCAGAGTTAACATACAAGTAATTGTATAAACTGTAAAATGATACAATACAACTATATATACATAACAGAATGCAATCTTGGCTAAAGATCGTTTGGAGTTGTTTGCCTTGATTTCATCCGATGAGTCGATTCAAGGCCGGTGCAGGTGTGATGGTGCGTCAGTGAGGTCTTGGTGAGGAAAAGGATGAGAAAGAGCCGGAGAAGGACCTTTCAGAATGTGAATAGATGTATCAATGAAAGAGAGAGAATTATGGGAAGAGATAAAAGTGTCAGATACAAATCTTATCACTTTTAGTGGTTGATTGGTTACAAGAATTGCTTTGGATTACTTCGGAATAGAAAGACATCCTTGTTCATTTGGGCTTGTACATCTTTATTTTATTTTTAATAAAAATACGAGATGTATGGTGGGACTTAAATATCATGTTTAATAATATAGATAAAACAAATTGAACAAAATTTAATATTATTTATATAAAAATAAATTATATTATTATTTTGTGTCTATTTTTTTGAAATTTGCCGTATCGCCGTACCTGTGTCGTATCGTACCCGTGTCTCATGTCTGTGCTTCATAGCAATGCAAACAAATGCAACGAGAAATCCACATGCTTAATCACATAACAAGGGCACTAGTATATGACATTATATATCTTAGTCTTGATCTTGGAGAAGATCAAAAAAAAAAAAAAAATTAAGCTTTTCTTTTATCAATAAAATTATCTTCAAAAATACTGATTTCCAAGTAACTTTCAAAATCAAAATTTTATTCGTAATCAGTATGTGTAGATTGATAGGTTCATCAACCAAAGGGATCTTCACTACAGCTCGACAGATACTCGCATTGATAGAAAATTTCAGAAATATTTCTTATTGAAATCCAGTACATTTCTATTGACCAATTGATCAATCGATAAAACAACTTGGCAATAGGTATGCCTCAATTAATCAAACCCTAAAGAGGCTTTTTTTTTTTGGAAACTATCTTAAAACAGATTTCTACAAGGATTCAACTTACTAAAACGTATGGGGCACCTATAAAGACTATAAACAAGGAGTTATATTCAATCCAGGGTATTGTTTTAAATCTAATCATCAAGAGAGAAAATCCTTTCTGTGTTAAAATTTCCAAATACCCAATCGAGGGTTTCCTTATTCAATATCATATATGATTGAATATTGAGGCTTTCCAATTCAACCACTCAGAATTTTGAGCTAAAGGAAGGACGTTCATTGAAGAAACAGATCCTTGAGCGAAGTATCCAAAGGACGGCTAACAAACTCGAGTAGAAAGTTTGGCGTCAGTTTTCCATTTTTTCTTTTTGAGAAGTAAAATTGTATTATGCTATGTTCGAAAGGAAGGAAAGAAGAGGGGTGGAAGGAGAATAGGAAGGACGGAACAAATTTCCATTATTCAGTAGAGATGATACAAGAAAAGAAAGGATAATAGGAAGGATGAGTCATCATTCCTCCTTCACAAATTTTCATCCGCCCAAATATGGGCGGAAGATAGGAGATAAGACAAGTGAGTCTATTATAGAAGTTATAAATTACAACATCACCCTTCATAAATATTTAATAAATCCCATAAATAAAGTAAGGGATGGGTTAAAAGGTAAAAACAACTTAAAATTTTATCTTTCCTTTTATCCTACCGATCAAATTAAATTGCCAGTTTTTTCCATTCTCTTCCAAACAACCGAACAAAAAGAGGGAAACACTTGGGGCTAGTTTGGTGTGGTGGAATGGAATACAAAGAGAGTGGAATGGAATGGTTTTTATTCCATTCTTGTGTTTGGTGCCCAATTTTAAAGTTGGAATTGTCATTCTCCACCATTCTTGGAGAATGGTCATTCCATCAAAACCATTCCACCTTCTCACAAAAGGAATGACCATTCCATTCCTACTTTACAAAATTACAAACCAAAAAAATATTAAAAAATAAAACCTAACAAATTACAAACCCACGCCGGCATCTTCATCTCCTCTATCAAACCCACCGCCGGCATCATCATCTCCACCATCAACGGTGAAACATACAAGAACACACAACCCAATCCAACCCATTGTCTAACAAACATAATATTGATCTTGAACTTCAAAGTGATGGACCAAGACGCAACAAAAAATCAAAAGTAGATCTGAGTGAAGCAAACCAACTTGTATATATATGCCTCTTTCTCTCTCTATATCTACGTTTCTCTCATTAACCCAAAAGCACTGAAGCTTTAGTTTAAATAAAGAACAGGGACCCAAAAGCACTAAAGCTTTTTCATGATTCTCTCATTGATTTTGTGAAAGAATTGCTGAAACCAACTTGGGAAGAGGGTCAAAAGGTCGCCGTTGTGGAGCTTCACCGCCAACAAACACTGCAACTTCATTTGACTGGATTGTAAGCTTCACCGATGAAGTTTGTAATGGAGCTTGGATCACCGCCGTTCGGCGGCGCCGATCAAATCGGATCCGTCCTCACCCTTATTCAATCGCTTCCTTCTCCCCATTGCCTTTTCTCGCCCAATCTCCAACACCTCACTTGCCCAATTTATTTCTTCTCTCTACTTTCTCTCTCTATCTCTTGCCCCAATTTCCTTCTTACAGTAGGCTCTTTCTAACCATTGGATTGGAAAAAAATTGATGTTAATTTTTTAGTTAATTTTTTTTATTAATGATAAAGGTAATTTGGAGAAAACAATATAAATAGATGATAAAGGTAAAACAATATAAATTTAATCCATTTCAATATTTAAGTACAACCAAACAAGTAAATGGAAATAATCATTTTATTTTTAACATTCCATGTTTGCAACCAAACAAGAGAATGGGAATCATCATTCCCATTCCATTCTATTCTCATTCCATTCCTAACTTCATTCCCATTCCATTCTATTTCATTCTTGCACACCAAACTAGCCCTTAATCTCTTCCCTAGGGATGTCTCAGTCAATCCTTCTTCTCTCCCTTCCATTCAATTTTTTTTCCTTCCTACAGAACGGAGCATTAGAGAAGCATTCAAAAGGGGGACTCAAAAGCAACACAAGGCCAAATAGGGCCTCTAAACTCTCAAGACAACATGATTTATTTGTCCTCATGTTGAATGTCCCAATCCGAAAAATACGACCATCTCAACCAAGACTCGGTCGAGTCAGGCCGAGATTCAACCGCATCGGCCAAATCAACCCGAGTCTCGCCCAAGACTTGATCGAGCTAGTTCAAGATTTGGCTTGGCCAAGTCTAAGTCGAGACAACAATGATCTTTGTTTTGGCCAAAATTACCAACTGACTCAGGCTCAACTCTAGCCAAGTCCAAGTTGGGCCAAATTGTCATAGTATAGAATTTATGCTCTTAGGATTGGAATCCACAGTCTCACACTTTAGAGGCCAAGCATTTTACCAGTGCATTAAATTATGGATAAAATTGCGAAATAAGGAAGGGGTTACGTTGAGCAAGGCTAGCAGTTTCAATTCTGTATAGAGCTTTCTCATTTCCACGAATAACATTCTGGAGGAAGTGGAAGTTGTTATCCTTTGTAGTTCAGAAGGTAGTCTTGTATTAAAAGAAGCCACCACCCTCTTGAGAACATCATCTTCACTGGTTTCCAAATTTCACGCTTTAGAGGCCAAGCATTTTACCAGTGCATTAAATTATGGATAAAATTGCGAAATAAGGAAGGGGTTACGTTGAGCAAGGCTAGCAATTTCAATTCTGTATAGAGCTTTCCCATTTCCATGAATAACATTCTGGAGGAAGTGGAAGTTGTTATCCTTTGTAGTTCAGAAGGTAGTCTTGTATTAAAAGAAGCCACCACCCTCTTAAGAACATCATCTTCACTGGTTTCCAAATTTCACACTTAAAATAGGAAAGATGTTTAATTTTATAATACATACATATATATATATATATGAATAGAATCTGCCATGCCTACTTACTGCAATCACCGGTGCCCATAAGCTAGCAACCGACAAAGCATTATAGTTATCTGCAGAAAAAACAAGAATTTAGTCACTAAAGTTTAACTTAGAAATGGAAAGAGATTGAAAATTCCAGAAGAACATTAACAAGAATGTAGTCACTAAAGAGAGATTAAAAATTCCAGCAGATCATTTGAATTTTTACTCATACATTAGCAAACAGAACTACTTCAATGATACAGACAATTTTATGGCCCCTAGTTAAAAATGCCTAGTTATTAAATGAAGAATAAAAGAGAATTTTCCTTAATGAAAATGAAATGAAATGAAAACAAAAACGAAAAAAACATAAAAAATAAAAATAAAAAGCTTAAGAATTAAAAAGAGTTCTTAATTCCACTGTGAGGAAAATAAAGGTCTGTTTAGATAAATTCAGGTGGTCACTACTTGGTGTACTATAAAAGTATTAACACCCTTATATGCAGTATAATCATTGGCATAGGTAGTTGTGAGATATAACTTGCAAAGTGATGTAACAGAGCTGAGTATTCAAGTGCAGCCACATACATGGATGCGAAGTATAGGCAACATGACAATTCTAGATTCTCTCTCTGTTTGTAACAGTTCTTAGGTAAAGTCTTCTGTGATGTGACAGAAAGAGAAACTTGCCAAAAAAAATTGTGCAGATGAAGATTTTTCCAAGTCCCCAAAAGGAAGCCTGCCCTTAAGAATATGGCAACAATTTCCAACACTAACTAACAAGAATCCAGACCAGTTTTTCGATACAGAATGCATAATGCAAGGGAGAATGTCTAATAAGGTCAAAAGTAGGAAAAGGGAACAATGGTATTGATAAGAAGACATGAGATAAAAGAACAAGGACATTGAAAGAGATAGCCTTCCGCAAGAAGCAGAAAATGTGTGGGGAAAAAAAAAAAAAAAAGGCAGATCTTTTTTCGTTTTTTTTTTTTTTTTTTTTTTTTTTGATAGATAAGGAAGATTTTATAAAAATGCTCAAAAGGGGAGCGCTCCCAAAACAAAGAACTGCCGTCCATGACAACACTATAGCTTTAAGCTATCAACAAAATCCAAAAGACAATCCACTGACATACAATCCCGCAAAAAAGGGAGATCTAATATATCATGTTTAAGCTCAAGATGCTAGACATAGTGACAATTGGCATTCACATTACACCAGAACTTGGGAAGGCGGGCCATTAAAAAGAAATCTAGAGTAAGCCAATTCTATAAGTTTTCACTTTCTGCAATAAAACAAAGCACAAGGTAGAATTGTTTTCCTTGAAAGAAGATTGTAAATGAGATTTCACATATCAAGATTCCTCCTCTACAACACTCACAAGTAGAATTGTTTTCCTTGAAAGAAGATTGTAAATGAGATTTCGAAGATAATCACATATAAGAAAAATAATAAATAAAAACAATTCTTCTCTTTTGTTGACTCATAAAAACAGTTTTTAACAAAAATAATCAAGAGAATGATTTGAGAGCCTCAGAGTGTGACCTTATACTGCAGCAATTTGAAACACTAATCTAGTTGCTTCTAAAAGCTATAATCTTAAACCTCTGCTTCGTCTGGATCTTTCCTTATGGCAACAGACACCCAGCAGAACCAAGATTAAAAACAATGGAAGGACATCAATGAATATTCAATAACATTATCACAGCATTCATAAGATGTTTTAAACTGATCAGACTAACACAGTGGACTTTAATTCCCATCCATAGGGACATAAAAAAGGCATCCCCTGCTCGTAATAAAATGATAAGCCCAGGAAAGTAACAGTTCTAATGTTACCAAGTGGATCAAATAATAGAGATAGTAGTTCAGTTCCTAGTAAACTTACCAACTACTAGACAATTTTAAAAAGAGTTCATTATTTTTAGTTTCAGTGGGAACCTAGATCGACTAGTTCAGAAGAAAACTTATATTTAAAAGGAGAACTATAACCCATATTACAGAAGCACAATTCCTCCTTTATTTTTATGAAATTGTGTTATTTATTACCTTTTTATTGTTTTAAATTTATTTGTGTGAATCCTATATTTATAATCCCTTCTATTCTAGTAAACTTAGTTTTTAGTGAAAATAAAATAGAAATTAAAAAGGATTGACCAAAAAGGAAACTAAGACTGGTATCCAAAAACTCCAAATTGGCAACCCAACCCCAAGAAGAATAATTATTATTCCTAAACAACAAGCTCAACATGAAATAAATTGAGAAGAGTGACGAACGCCGGTTCAGAAAATTGAGGCGTGAGAAACCATGCCTTCTATATGTCATAAGACTGAATGGAATATTCATAAGTCTAAAAAGTTGTAACCTTTAAAATGTAAAGATAACTTGTCCCGTTGCATTGAATATATATACTGTGCCTAAAATTTCTGCAGTGATGGGTTCGATGAACAACCAAATTCCTTGTTATAAATCAACAAGGCGACAGCTATGAGTGTCATATAGAATCATGTAGAATTCGACTCACCAAGTAAGTAGCTAAACAAGCTTGGAATACCACCATGCATAACAATTTTACACCTAGGTGTTTAAAAGATCAAAATTATAGCACAAGATATCCAGGAAAAATAAAGAAAAATCAAACTTAATCATTCCACCATATTCCAAATACTGACTGAATTAAACGAGGGTGCATTCCTACTTTCTCATATTCTTTAATACTTCAAGTTTTCAAAAAGATGGAAATGTGAGTTCACCAACAACGTTATTGCTCCTAATCATTTACAGTTTTGGAGAAAACAGTGGAAAAATGAGGCATGGTCGTTATTAAAGAGAAATCACAAACTTGTAGAGTGATAATTTGCAGTAAAGAAACTATTTTTTCACATATTCAGTATCACTTTGGATATGACAACTAAATGACCAATTGATTTGCAACTTATAATCAATGAACATTAAACGTCAACTGATCAAAGAGAACCAGAAAAAGAAACATAAAAAATATATCATAAATCAATGAACATGAACAAGTTGTTCACTTACTTTTAGATACTAAATCATGCCAAGAATATTTTAAACCTTCCATCTCTACTATAGCCCTTGTTGGTTCAACCAAAGGCTTGATCTGCATCAAATAATCACAAAAGTGTTGAGCAACAAAAACATCAAGTTAGAAACAACAAACACTTGGGCAAGAATATACTGAAATGTAGATAACCAAGCATCACTTACCTGAAGGAAGTAAGCAAATGAAAATTTGCCACCCAGAACAAGAAGCCAGAAGAGTAAATACCTGTGTTATAAAGATATTAGCAACCGCAATAGTAATATCTGATTACAAATAAGGTCAAAATTTTAAAAATTCAAACTACCAATGTACATGATCAAAAATGTGAGTGATCAAAGTTCATTTTAAGACTAGGCAATATTGCGCATAACTGGAAATGTAAGGCATAGGTATATTAACAATATGGAAGGGCCTGACAGATTAGAAAGGAAGGGTAGATGCAGCTGAAAGAAATGACAAATAAAAAATGGGGCATCACGTGGGACCCTACACTCTAAAGATTTAAACATTTCAGAGAAATAAATCACAAAGACTTCTTTTGAAGAACCAAAAGACACAGTACGTGGCCGCAAGTGACACAATCAACCATATACACACAGTCCAAGGCAAGAAAATGAGTTCCTCTTATTTCATTTTTTTTTTTTTTTTTTTTTTTTTGGTTGGTTAAGTAAGACGCATTGATACACAACAATTGCCCCATACGGAAACTTCAACTCTTGACCTTCCACATGGAAAGTAGAAGAGATACCAACAGGGCTAGGCTCTTGCTGTAATCTTAGCAAGCGACACCATTTTACCTCATCCGGGACATTTGAAGGGATAATTTCATCGAACCTTAAAAGGAGCGAAGGAAACAAAGCACGAGTTAAAGAGCATTTGTTTGAGTCTTTGTTTAGTGGATAATTTACATTCTTTCGTTATGCCTAATAAGCTGTGATGTGTGATAACTTTTGATGCTATATATGCCTAACGACTCACAAGTAATTGGGTTGCACCCTGTCATTTCCCTTGGTGCATTTTTCCAGCATATCCAAAAAAGAAAAAAGGCCTTGCATTAACTTGATTAAAAAGACGTAACCAAGATCAAACTTTGATGTTCCTACGCAATATCACAAAGCAAATTATTTAACTTTTGGTAATACTAGTTATCAAAGACAATAAACCTAAACAAAGGTTTTAAACATCTATAATCAATAAATATCTAACCTTCAAAACTGATATTTGAAAAAGGAAGTGCTTCTTTAACATGTAGATATCATGAGACCCATAAGCTTCTTTATTCATATTCTTTCATGTATTCTATTCCCCAAGGCATTTATTCAAGCAATGGCTAGGAATGGTTCTTTTCTAAAATGCCTATAGAAAATCGCACTATGCTAAACCTAAACTAGGAAAAGCAAATTTTTTTAACAACTACTTCACAGTTCACACTACACTCTGAGCTTTTAACAGAGATCAACTTGCCTCCTCCAAAGTGCATTATTGGTCATTTGCTGATTTTACTTTTGTTTGGTCTCCTATATGAGAGAGGAGGACTCTGCTTCTCTACTTGTTTTTCTTCCATTAAAAAAAAATAAAATAAAATAAATAAATAAATAAAGAATCTCTGTTTCCTACCCCTCCCACTAAAAAAAATCAAAATTTAAAATATAATAAAAAATAGATTTATTCAAACACTCGTAGAAACTGATAAGGTTTTTCAATTCATTTGAAGTTAAACTCAGGTTTTAATTGATGACCAAATTATTTAGATTGGGGCTAAGAGTTAGTGTGGGTAGGATTTCAAAGCCTAATACAGGAGTGGTGATCATTTCTCTTTTCTTTGATCATTTCTCTTAGAGGAAATTGTTCAGACAAACACCGCAAACCAAGAACACAATCAGGAATTACGAAAGAAAAGTAACCACACCACACACAAAGAACACAAAGATTTACGTGGTTCGGCAAAGCCTACATCGGCAAAAGATTTCACTGTGCGAAAAACAAGAGATTACAAGTTTCAGCCCTCAAACCCTAGCTCTCTCTATCTCACTATTTTTATGTAGTTTTCAGTGCTCTCTCATTTTTCACTCCAACCCCTAAACACCCTTCTTATTGGGAAACAAGAGTCCTAAAAGGGTCCATGACCCGCAAGAGAAAAATGTCAAAAATTTAGAGCCAAACCCGGGCCGAAACAAAATTCGGGACACAGCATCACAAAATAAAACATTTAACTGAGATATAGCTTAAAGCTATAGCATCCTGAACGAAAAAAAAAAATTTGAACATTTAACTGAGAGTTTGAACATGAGACGTTATGCATAGGTTTCTTATCCTTTGGAAAAAGGAACAGACAATTTATTGAGAGCGCTGAATATTGTATATTCGAGCCCTTAAATGAGCGCATGTTAATGCCTTAGTGATACTTCTATCCGATTTTTATACTGATTTTTTTTATTTTCCCAAAGCCTTTGAAGGTGTTTTGGGAACTTACAAGATGATTCAGAAGTCAAACAGGTAAAATCAGGCGAATTATGAAGAGTGTGCTCGAGCACACTTTCATAGTGCTCGAGCACATGGAGGAAAAGGTGAAAATTTGGCTAAGTATTGGGCAAAAAGACGCTTCGAAAATTATTTTGGAAAAATTGACTAAATGTCCCAATTAGTGCTCGAGCACACTAAACAGTGCTCGAGCACTGATGAAGAATTCTGGACCTGATTAAGTATTTTGGGCATGACTTTTTATACTCAAAACTCCAAATTGGGCCAACTTTCGAGATTCGGACTCCAAATATGTCAAAATAGCATTACAAAACTGCACGTTGAGACAGTGCTCGAGCACACTAAACACTATCACGCTGGGACTTAAAAAACAGATCGGGAATGTTCTAATAATCAGTCTTTTTGACCCCAGATGTCCCCAGAAGTCCTAAAGCCCATCCAAGATCAGATTTCTCCTATAAAAGAAGATGAAAGGCCACAAGGAAAACTCTCTCTCTTTTCTCTCTTTGGCAATTTTTAGATCTCGCGGCGGCTTTTAGGGTTTTGAAGAAGAAGATCCAAAGGAGTTTTTGGTGATCCATGAAGATGGCTTCTACAACATCAACAAAGACATCCTTCCTCTCCATGAGTAGCTAAATTCCATCTTAGGGCCTTGATGTAACCCGAATCCGAATCCGAATAATATGGTTTGATTGTTCTTTAACTTTAGAGATTTCATTATTTATGCATTTTGATTGCATGATTAAGAGCAATTGACTTAGGATTTCTAAGCCAATTAGAGTTTTAATGAATAAACTTGGTTTTTGCTGAAATTGATATCGTCTTAGAATTGATTTTTCTTTAATCAAATCCAAACTATTGTTTGAGATTGGCGGTTAAGGGCTTCTCAGAACGATCTGAATAGTGATCATGCAATGGTGTTTAAACTGTTTTATGAATGAATGTTTTGATAATCTATGCCTAGGGAAGACAAGTTGTACTACACCGTATATTAGAAGAGTTAGGCAGACAATTTGTGCCAACCGAAGATAGGTTATGGCTTAACATGAATTCATTATTTGTCTTCTTAAAATTGAATTAAAGAAAATGTTAATTCATTTAATTCCTGATCATGCATAAATATTGAAATCCCTAAGGTTGATTCAATTGACCAAATTATGAGGTTCGTGGTGAAGTCAAGCCCTGAGTATTTCTTCTCTTGATCTCAGTCCTTATCATATTTGTTTGTTTTTATTTTCATGCTATTGATACACCATCACAACAAACAAATCTTCTCTCTAAATTAAAATAGAAATTAATTTTAGACTCAATAATCCACCATAGTCCTTGAGGTTCGACACCCTCAACATAGCCCTATCCTACAAAGGATTCGTTCTATTGCGAGTGGTTTTATCATTGATAATACACACATCAGTGATCAATCAAGCTAGTGTTGAAAAGCAAACAAGATACGAAAAGAATGACAAGAGAACAAACTAGACAACAGCACACAATACAAAAGTAACCCAGAACCAGAAAAGAATATCATGATTAAAAACCCTACCTAAATGAGGAGAAATCCATGACTTCTCAACTGTACTGCAAATTTAGAGGCACCCCACTCTCATCCAACCAACAACAAAAGCATAAGCCCCTTAAATCACGCAATGATGAAACAGGCTATAATATCACTTTTATAGCAGTTCCTATAAGCAATAGCTACAAGAAACAGAATTCAATTCTACGAATACTACCACCACCATTAATTTTTTCCTTAGTGAAAAAATAATTTGATAAGCTACTTTTATAATAATCAAACCCATAAACCCACCCACCATTTAACATGACATGAAACCATTGGGTTTTTCATCCATGACAATATATTAAACCCAACTACAAAGAGTTGAATAAAATAGATATGAAACCATTCCCAACTTAACTCAATAAGGTCTTTCTCTTAACTACTTGGGGTCAGCTACATGAACTTTTTTTTCCATTTCTGCTCTTAGGCCATAAACTTAAAATTACTCTAATAACCAAAGTAACCCAAATTATTCAATATCAAATCGTTCCCACAAGAAATGCAGAAATTTGAAGGCCCTGCAATTAATTTGATTCAGAACCAAAAAGAGATTGTTTAGCTATATCTTACAAGAGAGAGTGAAGCAAGAAAATTAAAGTTCAATTAACAATCAAGGAATATAAACTCCCTGCTGTCAGGGGCTTATCTGTTATTACTTATATAATGTTGGGTGCTTATGTGTAATTTCTGAAACTTGCTAGAATAAATAGAATGTGGTGGAAGGATGAAAGGATTCTTTCTCTCTTTCCCCATCTCTCTCTCTTTTTCTCTCATCTTCTTTCTTCTCTTTTTCTTCTTCTTCTTATACATTACCATTGATTTGATTCTCTCTTAAAGTCAACACTCCCCAAACTAGCCCATTAGCAGATAAGCTCCTTTTATTCACTAACCATAGCACACATAAAGAAGTGCAACATATGGGCATGCAGAAGTTAAAATGCCTCTTCAAAAGAGTGTAATGACCCAATGGAAATCACTGCCTACCATCCAGTAGATGAAATTTAGCAATTAACTTAAGTCTTAAATTGTGAATTGCATCCTTTTAGTTTCCATCATCCCACAAAAAGAGATTCCATCTTGCCCTATTTGCTTTCCCACCCCCAAAAAGAATTCAAAACGGAGAACATAATTCTAATATATCATCATTCCTTGACAGGCCACAAATTCACAGATGTCCAAGAATCCAGAATGAACATATCTAAATTAAAGAACCAAAGCAAGTCATTGTTTTTCAATCCCTTTGGCTGTGGATCTTTAACATATTATGACATTCTCCAGCATTGTTGGGTAGGAAGGGAAATGAGCACTTTGTTATAAATTTTAGCCGAGATGGAATTAAGTCAAGAGTGGAAATGCAGTATGGAGGCAGCTCCGTTGTCTGATCTGCAGAAGAGACACCGTCACTCTTCCAAAAATGTAGAGTTCCAAACCCACAACTTGTAGCAAGTGTTTTGGAATTTATTATCCAGTTGGACCATGAGGGGTGACTCCCTCCCTTGCCACATATTGGAATTATTATTATTATTATTTTTAAATAGGTCTTCCCGCTTGTTGGGTTTTTATTTTTAAGACACCCTCAGATAAACTCATTCCCCTTTCCGGGCTCCTCTCTGGTATACATTGCATGTACCAGATTGCAACCACTAGCAGCTTTATTAATTTTTTACTCTACTTATCCTAAAAATATAAAATAAATAAATAAATGAAAGAGAAGGGGAAAAGAAGGCCATCCCTCCCTCACAATTTTACAATGAATCTCGAAATTATAGTGCTTTATTTTCCAAATTATATTATAATCTTAAAAATATATATACCAAAGAAAGTAACTTAAACAAGATATAAACCAATAGAGAGAAAATAATAGAGAGAAAGTGTACTTAATATAGTCGGAGGTCCTCTCATACATGCCACGGCCAACATAGTAATGCTCCTTAAGAGTGCAAAAAAGAAAGAAATTAATAAACCAACAATTTTTTTGCTATTAATAAAGCAAATAAAGAAATCCAAGTACACAAAACCAAATGAGAACACATCTATTGTCAACCTGATGCATCCACTTGATAAAACGAATTAAAGGCCAATGATCCCAATGACTGGTCATACGGTGAAAGGCTGGCATTTGCATAAGGAGACTAATAAAAACTTGGACACCAGCATAGATGCCTAAAACAATTACATATATCTTGAAAACAACTGAACCAGAATTTTGTTTACTCTCCTCTTTGAGAGCTTTCCTGTAATTAAAAGCACAAACAACCAATTAAAGGTGTGGCATGGATAGGCTAGCAAAAATACATTGTAAGGAACAATATTAAAAAAAAAATCAAATTAAATCAAGGGTAAAGAGTAACGTACACATAAAGGAAACAAATAAAAACTGAAGCTATACTGAACCAAAGGAAACGAAGAAAAATTCGTGAAACAGCCAAGCGTCGTGTTGTGGAATATGCACCAAACATCATGATAATGTCCAGAACACCTGCATTTGAAACAAGAGATCAGCAATTAAAGAAAAACATTTTACCATGCAATATAATAAACTTGAAACTCAATTGGTTTCTAAAATCTTCAATCAGCACAAATGAAAAGGAAATCGAGTACTGGGAACATTTAACGGAAAAATATGAACAGGCTTCAGATAAAACTTTATAGATAGAGAACCTTACTCTCAAAAAACTTCATCACAACAAATGTTGGGCCGAGACTGAGTACTTCTCGAATGGTTTTTGAGTTAATAAGTCCATCATTGAATGCAATGATACCAAGTCCCTGGAAAAGCAGAAACAATATTTTTGAGTCCTACAAGTAAGGTCAATTTTAGTCAAATTAATTATGAAGAGGGAAAAAAACAGAAGAATGATGGACAGATCAAGAAGGAGAAACCATGAGTAAAGGAGAGAACACATTGTAAAACAAAATCTTCTCTTATGCTCAAGAAGGAAAACATGCAACACAAGAAAGATAAATACCCAAATCAAAAAGAAGCCGACAGTTTGATTAATAGACAAACTGAGAGCAAGGAACCAAAAAAGGCAACAGGAATTTGGAGAAGGAAATAAGTGTCAAAGTAGGAAGGAAGAAAAAGAATTTAAAAAGTATAGAACATGAAAAGATGGTGGAAAAAACCGTTAATAGATGGTTCACAATCATTAAGGGGAAGAACAGAGATCTAATCATCCACGAGAAATGCTCCAGTGCAAAAGAAAATTTAAAATTAAAAATAAACAGAATCCTTAAAAAAAAGCCTTGCAAATCTCAGCAAGTCGATTGATAGTGCCTCTAGATAAGTTGCAAACCTGAAACATCATGAAAAGAAATATCCATAGACGGTGGAAACTATGGTACAAATGAAGAAATGTTCGGTGCTCAACAAATGAAGTTTTCCCTCGCCGTTTACCTCCACCAGATTTAAGCATATTCTGAAAAAAAAAAAAAAAAAGGTTATAGAGTTCAATACTTCCAGTAAGTTTATAAGTAGAACTGAGAACAAAAATGGCAACAAAAGGAGTTTCAATTAGAGCATATCAATGCCCTGCGAAGTGGATTTAACCCAACCAGTGACATACTTAAAGTTCAATATCACAAAGTTTGTTAGCCCATTAAGACTAAACTGCCTTGTCCATGGAACAAAGCCATGAATCTGGTCTCGGCCATATCGCCAAATTGAAAACCCTAATCTCCTACCAGAAACACGACCAAATTATATTTCTTTATTTTTTTTCACATTTGCGACTAATTACATGAGTAATATAATGATGTGATTTTGAAAAATTCCACATTATGTTGTGATTGAACTTAAGAGGAGCTCCTGATTATGAATCCTTGTTGATTCTTTTCACACTTTTTAAACTTCTTTTGGGAGGGAACTCACCAAGTTACTAACACTTAAATGTTCACGAAAATCCCATGCTTTCCCATGATTCCGCAACTAACAAACAGCACTTCAGTTTGAACTCTCTCAAATCATTTCATTACTAGCCACCTCTCATGCTTGTAGTAAATGCATTTTCACATAATACTGACATTATAACAGGCCAATGCACCCGAAACTACCGTCACATTTCATGGATATGAAGAAAAAATGAGATAGGCACCTTGACCTGGAATTTCTACCCAAAATGGGCAAAGGACAATGCAAAGGCATTGCACATATATGTGTAGCATGCTTAAAAGGCTTAAAACGTACTCAGCTGCCTAGGTCTAGTGGAACCTAAGTGTAAGACATAACATAAGGCAAGAGAATAAGCAAATTACGGTCCATGTTTGTAAGAGAAATGCACGGCAAGTAAACTTAACATTGAACAAAATAAAAAAAATACGTATTAAAAAGCATGAGTATGCGAGTACTATTGCGAAAAAAGCCACTTTGTGCAAATAATAATGCCAAAAGTTCGGTTTGTCTCCAGTCTTCATATCCACACCCCATGTAGGCCAAACAACACTGGTGATGGCCATCAATTCAGTGTACATATATCTTTTCTATATGCAGAAGCATTCAATTAAATCAACATACAATTGAAACAATTCAAGATATAAAACACAAAACTAGTTTCCTTCTGGATTGCTGGGAGGTGGTTAGGGGAGAGGTGAAGGGCACTTTTCATGCATTGCATTCTGAGAACCGACTTGAGAAATGCAAGAATGCTTCCTTTATAGCCCTTATCGCCAAGAGCCAAGAAGGGGGGAGCACCTAATGTTAGGGACTTTAGACCAATTAGTTTGGTGGGTTGTATCTACAAACTAATAGCTAAAGTTCTAGCTTTGAGGTTGAAGGATGTCATGGATGGAGTTATATCTGAATCCCAAAACGCCTTCGTTGGTGGTCGTCAGATTTTAGACTTGGTTCTCATAGCCAGCGAGTGCATCGACTCCAGGCTGAGCGGGGGAATCCACGAATTCTTTGCAATCTTGACATCGATAAGGCCTATAATCATGTGAGCTAGAGCTTTTTGCCTTATATGTTGGAGAGGATGAGTTGGTTCAGAGAGAGGTGTAGCAGGTGGATTGAGTTCTGCATTTCCTCAATGAGGCTCTCGGTTCTTGTGAACGGGTCTCTGACCGGCTTCTTTAGCAGCTTGCTTAGATTGAGGTAGGGGGAACCCGCTCTCCCCGTCTTCATTCATTATTATGATGGTCTTAGTAGGTTGACGAGGAGGGCTGTGGAGTCCGGTTTTATTAGAGGGTTCAAGGTGGGAAGGGACCCATCCAATCAGCTGGAGATCTTCCACTTGTTTGCAGACAACACTATAATATTTTGTTTTGCAGACGAGTCTCGGTTGAGATATTTGCGGTGTGTTATGATTTGCTTTCAAACTACCTGAAAGTCAATGTGGGAAATTATCAAAGGGTTCATGGTGGGTAGGGACCCATCCAATCATCTGGAGATCTTCTACTTGTTGTTTGCAGACATCACTATAGTATTTTGTGATGTAGACGAGTCTCAATTGAGATATTCGAGGTGTGTTTGATTTGATTTCAAACTAACTGACAGTCAATGTGGGGAAGAGTGTGTTGGTTCCGGTAGGGGAGATTGCTGAGATGTGTGACATGGCCGGCATCCTTGGCTGTCGATTTAGATCTTTAACTATTACGTAACTGGGTTTGCCTTTGGGTTCACATTCAAGAAGAGTAGGAGGTCGGGAACTTGGCTCACTGGGTGGAAGAAGCATTATCTTTCGAAGGGTTACCCTGTCCAGTTTTCCTACTTCCTATCTCTCTTTCAGAGGATAGAGAGGCTCGAGCGGAGCTTCCTTTGGGGTGGTATGGAGGAGGAGTTCAAGTACCATCTAGTTCGTTAGGAGCAGCATGTATGCAGGCTAATTCAGACATGTGGCCTGAGGATTAAGGGATTGGTGCCTTTCAATAAGGATCTTTTTGGGAAGTGGTTGTGAAGATTTGGTGTGGAGAGGCAGTGACTATGGACGAGGGTTGTTTCCTGCAGATTTGGGGAGGAGAGGAGAGTACGGTGTTCCCTAGAGGTGAGGATTCCATGAGGTGTAGGTATTTGGAAATTCATCAGGAAGGGGTAGGATAAATTTTCCAAAACGCATCAGATTTATGATTCGGGATGACGGAGATATTCGCTTTTAGGAGGATATTTGGTGTGGTGACAGATCAATGGCATGCACCTTCCCTAGACTTTTTCAGATTGCTCTGGATAGACATGCATTGGTTGTCAACTATTATCGGCTTCATAGCGGGAGGACAACCTCCGATGTGCACTTTTCAACACATTCCGAGGATTCGAAACTGGAGGAAGCCATTGGGTTGTTGGAGGTGCGGACGGCAAAGGGCCCCACTCTTGGATCTGGGTACCCTCATCTCAGGAGAGGTTCAATGTTCACTGTTTCTATAGGAGCCTTTCGGATGCTCTGAAGCCCGCTTTCATGTGGAATATTGTTTTGCGCACAAAGTTCACTCTTAAGGTGGCCCTTTTTGCTTGGACAGCGGCTCTGGAGAGGATCCTGACGCTGGATAACTTGAGGAGGAGCAGACAGGTTATTGTTAATGGTGTTGTAAGTGCAAGCGAGATGAAGAACTGGTAGATCAGTGTCTCATGCATTGCCCAGTGGCACGGGACAGTTGGGAGTTCCTCTTGGGCCTTTTTGGGGTCCAGGGGGTTATGCCTCAGTCCTCGAGAGACAACTTCAAGGCTTTGAGAGGTTGTACAATGGGAGTCCAAGCCCGTGACTTCTGGAGGATAGCACCCCAGTGCCTTTGGTAGTGCATGTTAACCAAATCAAATACCATGCAAATGTTTAAAAAAAAAATGGTAGGAATTATATGTATTTTAAACATATATTATTATAAACTTTGAGAATGAAACACTAGACACATTTAATGCAAATACTCAACCATAGTATCATGAATTGAATAAACAAATATACAATGGGATTAAAATATATAATCTATCAAAATGGTTATGATATGAGACAAAGCATGTAAGCAAAAAATTTAAAGAAAAAAAAAAAAATTTTGAAGAAAAGGAAAAGATATGACTGAATAAACATATAGAAGTATGTTTTCTTTAGTTGGAACCTACTAAAAAATGCATCCAAGCCTTTACGGGTGCCTGCATGAAGGGATTAGTCACTAGGCTCCAAAAAAACTCTAAGCTCGTCAAGGCTAAGATAGAGCACCTCAAGGCCCTCAACATAGTACTGGCCAGGTGTAACAGGCCAAACGCCCGGCCCATTCATTCTCACATAAAACCTTTAGGCTCACACTTTTACGCCCTGCCCGTTACACCAAGCCACTCCAATCAGGCACACACTTTTTCATACGCTACAAACTCACAAAACGCGCCTTGTATCTTTCAATCATTTATTCATATCATTTTTTTAATTCATGATCATTAAATTAAAATGTCTATCATGATCATATTGTTCAACCATATAAAATATTTGACAGAATTCATAAACTTATGGTTCATTACTTATATTAATTGCATTTAATGCTTCATTCTGAATATTTATCATAATATATGTTTAAAGTTAGCATAATTATTGTTGTTTATTGTTCCAATTTGAAATCATATTTAATTTGGTTAATGTGCAAAATGAAAAGGTTTATGAGCATTAGTTTACCTGATCCTCATAGTTAATTATCAAAAATCTCATTTTTAGAAAACATTTGTTTGGTTGTGTTGCATATCTTGAATCATTCTGCACCAAATCCATTGAATTGACGATATGTTGAAAAAAAAATCCTTTATTTTGATATTGACAAGTTTGTGTTGCATTGTTTAATTATTCTTCAAAAACTTATATTTAATGTGTATAATTATCACACACGTGCCTTAATTCAATCAGGCTCACAGCTTATATTAAGCCTAGATGCTTAGGCTCCAGAAGATTTTGGCGACTTAGGGCGCCTTAAGCGTTTAACAATTATGGTGAAGGGAGCATTGCCTATAGTAGGTTGACATACTTCAATTGAGCTTGGAGGAGCTTACGGCAAGATTTGAACCGTAGGCGCACCTTTAAGTCATAGTTGTTAAAGGCGCGCCTAGGCTCCAAAAAGGCCGCAGGCTCATCAAGGCTTAGCTTGAGCGCCTCAACCTACTACAGGTCAAACCCCTTCAATTAGGCTCATGCTTTTAAGTAGGCTCCAGGCTCAAAAAAGGAGTGCCTTGTATTTTTTAATCATTTATTCATATCAATTTCTTTTTTACTTAATGATTACTAAATTAAAAGGTTCTATATCATATATCGTATTGTTTAACCTTTAGAAATACTTGACAAAATTCATAAATTTATGGTTCACTACTTACATTAAATGCAATTATTGCTTGATTATGAATATATATAATAATATATGTTCTAATATGCATTACTATATACAAGCGCCTTACTTCAATCAGGCTTGCGCCTTGCGCTTAGGCTCCAGAAGGCCTTTGGCGCCTTAGTGCGCCTTGAGC